AGACTCAATTCCTTTCAAATACACATTTGATGTACACAAGACTAAATACTTAAATATATTGATACATATAGGCATTTTAGTGTCTTTTCTACACAAACATTTGAATTTCCCGCAGTCCAGAAATATTCGAAAAGTTGTTTCAATTAGCGCCGATCTTATTTAATCTAAAGGGGGGAAATTAAGTTATAAAAATTTACTTTTATTTACAAAATTTGTTCAGGAAATAAGAAAAACCTTGTTACAGAAAACTTTGCAGAAAAAAGTGAGTTTATGACAAAAACTCTTTTTTGAACAAAATTTGATAACTTTGGGAACTGAATAAATATATAGATATAAAGATATATGTTAAATAGATATATATAAATGATATATGTTAAAAAGATAGATATAGCTCACTGCTCAAAAGTTAAATAGAGTTTAATAGAAAGATAGAACTGAATAGATAAATAGAGTTTAATAGATTCATTAGAATTGATTAGATAAATAGAGTTGAATAGATAAATAGAGTTGAAAATATATAGAGTTGAAAATAGATATAAATGGTCAAATAGATCGATAGAGTTGAATAGATAAATAGAGTTAAATAGATAAATAGAGTTAAATAGATAAATAGAGTTGAATAGATAAATAGAGTTGAAAATAGATATAAATAGTCAAATAGATAGATAGAGTTAAATAGATAGATAGAGTTAAATAGATAAATAGAGTTGAATAGATAAATAGAGTTGAATAGATAAATAGAGTTGAATAGATATATAGAGTTGAATAGATAGATAGAGTTGAATAGATAGATAGTTGAGTAGATAGATAGAGTAGAGTTGAATAGATAGATAGAGTTGAATAGATAGATAGAGTTGAATAGATAGATAGATGAAGGGGATTTAAGAAGGGTAAGTTTGTTTAAAGCATGGAGAAAAGGAAATAGTGGAAATAGAAAGGTAGGGAACATACTAAGGCCATGGTAATACTGAGTGCCTATACGTAAAACTTAATAAAATTGCAAAATGCATTAGATTGAAATCTTTTACGTTTTTAATCAAAACTCTTCTTCTTGATAAGACTTTGAGAAGAATAAAAAAGTTTTGTATTTCTAAAATGTAACCGAATAAGTTTGCTTTTCTATGAAATATGCGTGAAATCAAAACTAGAGGAGCTACAAAGTCGTAAAGTCCGATAAGTAATGTCTAAGTGTGTAAGTAAGTAATGTAAGTAAATAAGAGAGGGGGGAATGGATAAGTAAATAAGAAAGGGTGGAATAGATAAGTAAGTAAATAAGAGAGGTGGCTCAACAACTTTGAAATGAAAGGGATAGAAAATTTATGAAGTATGTAAAAATTTTCGGGTTTTTTCCCTGAGCACACTAACTGTATACTGTCATGGAACTAATTAAAAGAAAATATAAAATTATCTTTTTCACTTAATAAAACAGCATTAGTCTGAAAAGATGAGTAAATTAATTAAGTAGGATAATTAGCTAGAGAGCAACAATAAGAGAGCATCATCAAAATTCATCAACATTGAAGAAGTTAATGAACGCTGAATTATAAAAAAAAAAAATCTTTTTCCCCTCTGTCCTTCGTTCCTTATCAAGACAACTATTTCCAGGCTCAAAAAGTTCAATAAAATATCTCTTGGAATGCATTTTGACAAAAAAGTAATAAAATTCGTCCTAAATTTCAGTTTTTAAAGATTCTCACACCTGTTCCCTTCACTCTTGTCCGTGCTAGGGGACCGAAAGGTCGAAAAGTTTCGGGGATTTTCTTTTTAAAAATCCGCGGAAACCGGACACTGCCAACATTGTGTACACGGTACAGTGTATACAGTGTACAAATGTGTAAATCCACTTTATCAAACTTAAAAATTTACGATTAACACGCGGCGAAAAACGAACGTTGAAAATATATATATTCTGGTTTTGGTTTTGATTACGAGAAATAGAAATCCTTGACGTTGGTGTTGGTTTATAGGTGTTGGTTGGGAGAGCTTTAAACTGTGGTTAAATGGATAAATAAATACGGAACTTTATTAATGCCGCGACGTCAAGCTGTGAAATAGAATAATAGAGGGGAGGNAGATTACAGGCTGGTGTCAAGGGTGGGGGGAGGGGGCGTTGATTGAACATATAATTATCTAAAAGATAATTTTGAACCTTTAACTAATCGATTTCCCCGTGTGATAATTCAATTAGTGAATGTTAAAACTATAATTATGTAATTTTAATTTTAAATTATAATTATTTGAAACTAAAGACCTGGTTTAACTTGTTATTAATCATCTGAACGTCCAGTGTAAAAAATGTTTTATGCCGACCGACATTTTCTCAAATTTTCGTCGGGAAAGAATTAGTGGAATTTTTCAGCGCCGAAATTCTAAATTATCTCAATTTTGCCGCTAACATTTAGTAAGGTTGAAAAATTATACTTTTCTAGTTAAATAAAAATACATCCAGTAAATTTACCCCCCCCCCCCTCCAGTGTGCAAATTGAATAATCGCATAAAGCTTAAAAATAATAATGGTAAGTATTACAAAATGAATATTTTCTGGAAGCGCAATAGATAGAGATTTTAAATCCAATTTTAATTGTAAAAACATCCAATCCTTATTCTGGGACATCTTTTACATATTCCTTTACAATTTATATACCACCCCCCTTCATTCCTCCTAGTTCATCATTTTTTATTCTTAATATCTCTCTTTCTTCCCTCAATCTTCCTCTATCTTATCTGTTATATAAAGTCTACACTCATCCAATCCCCATATCCATTTCTTCTCATTTACTTCTTACTTTTCTTCTTTACTAATACTTTAAAAACCGATATTTGTTTCTACTTGTATGACTTTTTGTCTTTTCCATTGCGTTGGACAAGTTCTTTTTTGACAGAAAATTCATTTTTTTTTCTCATTTGAGGTCATACATACAATACATCCTCATCCTATACTTATTATTTAATCCTTTGTTATCTGTTCTCATCATATTTAAACCTCCCAGCTGCTCTCACCTACATATTTTTGTCACGGCGCTTTATCTTTAATAGAAGTCGGGGTGCAAACCTAGGATGCACGGCGAATCATTGAATAAAATAGTCTCTAGCTTTCTTTTCGTAAAGCTTAACTTAAACTTAATAATTTTGAAAAAGTTTAAAAAGTTATATCTTTTTAACATATAGTGGAAAATTGCCCGATCAAAAGTAACGAATCACTTATTATCTATAATTCACAATTAGGTCCAAATAGTATTTTTATTAAATATCCTACATGAAGGAGTTGAGTCTTTGCCACAAATTCTGATTTTCTAAACCCTGTATCTTTGCAACCCAATGTTCTAGAACCTTAGATATTTCAAACTATGAATTCTGGTGGATCAAATAATCTAAGTTTGNCAAAGCAAATCGAAAACAAGGACGAACTTATAAAATAGGAAAGAGAGACACAGACAGCATGTAAAAATAGGGACGGAGAGAAACAAGGACGATTGAACTTACCTAAGTTGTCAGGACGAATACAGACAGAATATATTTAGATAGATAGAAGGATGAACATATGGCTAGATAGAGAGATAGTAGAGGATTTATTGGAAAGATGTGCGGGTAAAGATAGAAAGATAAACTGGGCAAAGGAGGATATTTTTAGTTTGACGACTTTACGTTATATTTAATGATATTTTCTGAAAATGTTTAATTGCTCTGCTTGTGTTTACCAACAAGACGACTAAACAAGGAAGTTTGTCGAGCGACAAAACAAACAAAGTTTTTGCTTCAATTCAAGGTGTTAGATTTTCACTGGCGTACACAAACTTCAAGATCTGCAATGGGCCAAATTACTATTGACAGTTCTAATGCAAGAAGAGTTTACATTCTTTAATTTTCACGGATACCTTTTACATATATTTGTTAATTTTATCCTTAGTTGGAATATTAAAAGACGATGGACCCCCCCCCCTTTTTAGAAGTTAGTTACGCCCTGACAGGGCCTGGTGAGAAAGGTAATAAGGGGGAGGGGGGAAGGTAAATGAAGAAAAAGAAGGGGGAGGGGATAGGAACTAAGAACACCACATGTTTTGTAATGCATGAATGAATAAGAATAGGAGATATACAAATAAAATATACATATATGCAGCAAGTCTCAATAAATATTTTGATTTATCAGTTACATTGTCTTAAATTCACACAGTCCTGCAAAAAAGAAAAACTTAAGTATCACAGTTTTTTACAATCCACAATTTTTTTCTTTATCTTTAAAATTGGTAAAATGGGTAAGCTCAGTCTTTGCCACAAACTCTGATTTTCTAATTCCTATATCTTTGCAACCCAATGTCTCAGATCTTAAATATTTCAAACTATGAATTCTGGTAGATCAAATAATCTAAGTTTGAAATATTAAAGGTTTAAAGCACCTAGTTGCAAAGATATAAGGATTTGAAAATTTGTCTTTGTGGCAAAGACTCAATTCCTTTGCAGTTGAATATTAGGTAACCTATATTATGAATTTCGTACAATCGTCTCTGAAGTCTCATCCTTTGTGATGTGCAGTGATATGCCTCCTTTCTTTTAAAATATATAATTTTATTTCTCCGAACTCGAAGGATTATTTCAATTCAAGAATTATTTATGTTTAAAGGTATTTAACTGTTGTTTGTAAGAAAATATAACAGAATGCGGTATTTTGAATCCTACAAACCTTAATTCCATCTTGATTCTTGATGCATAAAATAAATGTATTATTCAGTGATATCAAAAACAGGGACTAATTGCTCTCTTCGTTTTTTCTTGCGATTTTTAAAATGTCTCAGGATTTTGTAATCTATAACAAGAATATCTGAAAACTATCCAGGTTTATTATAACAAGAATATCTGAAAACTATCCAGGTTTATTATAACAAGAATATCTGAAAACTATCCNGTGTAGGAAGACTACAAAACATGTTTGCCTAGGAAGCTGTATGGTGTCGTGTATAGGCCAATAGGCCTGAAATGTTTATATGCCTCAATAGGAATCTCACCTTGCATATGCCAGCTCATAGCATCTGTATATCCTTCCTCCTTGTTCTCATCCATATACTCCATACCATGGTTACCCATTCCACCCTCTTCTCCCGAGGGAGGGGACTGGGGCTGCTTATGAACGTCTGCCTGTTTGCCCGGCATGTGTCGCCGGTCCATCATATCCTCGTACTTAAGCTCGGGAATGTCAGGGAGCTCTGGGATTGAGTCCAGGTTCATGTTCTCCAGTAGCGCCTGATTACTGGGAGCTGGGTATCTCTTGCTACCCGGAGCTTCTTCGTAATTAAAACCTTCCAGAGTTTCTGTTTTTATTTTACTAGTTCCATCATCTCCTTCTTCTCTGCCACCTCCGCCTTTATTATCTCCGTTTTCACCGGGATTACTTTCACCAGATTGTTCACTAGTTGTTTCTTTTTTTATATTCACCAGGCCGTGTTCCTCACTATGTTGTGGCGTAGAACCTCCGCCAGACCGGGCTGAGGCGTTGGATTGTACGTCGGAGAGTTTATCGTCGGCGGTATATCCGCCGGCCGCCGATTCATCCTTTGGTCCGCCGTAACCACCAGTTTGTGACAAGGGACTAGGCTGCATGTGAGGGTTTTGTTTACTATAGTAATCGTATCCGAAAGGAGGCTGAGAGGGGAAATTTGAGGTTTGAGAGGATATATTAGATATAGTGTTGTTACCAGGGCTAGGCTGGGACCCGGAGTAAATATTGTTGCTTCCTGGGTGTCCAGAGTGGGGAGAGAGGTTCGGAGCATCTCCTGGAGACTGGTTTGGAGCTCCTCCTGCTCCGGGTGATATGTTTAGTCTCCCGTGGGGAGACATGGGGGACAGGATGGGACGAGGTTGAACTCCGCTACTCCCGTATCCGTTAAACCCGAACCCTGATTGAGAATAACCCTGAGGGATGGCGGCATAGGTTCCACCCACCTTGAGATCAACGCTTTCCGTCTTAATTTGGTTCCCAGTCATATTTTGATTCGGTGAGTTCATTGGATGAGGTATTCTTGTTCCTGGCATCATCATTCCCATGGGATGAGGACCTCCTGACCCTCCAGGATTTCCTCGAGGCCCATGGTCAGGGGAGGGATGTCGTATATGTCCTCCCCCTGCTCCGAAGGAGTAGTGATGCTGCACGTTGTGTGTGGGGGATTGGTTGTTATAGAACTGCATTGATTGATGAGGATGGAACTGTCCTGGAGGATGAGAGGATGAGGATGAAGGTGGAGGAGGAGGGTATCCACCAGCTCCGGGGTAGGGGGAAGACTGGCCCTGGTTTCCATATTGCGAGTTTTGATTTTGGTACATTGATTGTCCACTATTGGGGGACTGCCCCTGGTTCTGACTATAGGGGGACATTGGACCGCTGTGCGCCCCTGGGTAGGGGGACATGGAACTGGGGTATCCATGGACCCCTTGAGCCCCAGGTCCAAAGTTAGCCCCTGGTTGGCTGTAGAAGCCCTGACTGTAGCCGTGATTCGGGTTCATTTCCTGGAGGGTTGGATTGTTACTCCCTCCACTACTAAACTCATCTTCACCTCCAACCTGAAATATTCAAAATTAGACCAGGGGGATTTATATATACTCGGAGCAGGGACGGAGATAGATACAGAGTTATACAGATACAATAAACACAATACACACGGACGAGAATTTAACTAGGACGAATAAACAAAGACGGATAAAAACAAAGCAAATCGAAAACAAGGACGAACTTATAAAATAGGAAAGAGAGACACAGACAGCATGTAAAAATAGGGACGGAGAGAAACAAGGACGATTGAACTTACCTAAGTTGTCAGGACGAATACAGACAGAATATATTTAGATAGATAGAAGGATGAACATATGGCTAGATAGAGAGATAGTAGAGGATTTATTGGAAAGATGTGCGGGTAAAGATAGAAAGATAAACTGGGCAAAGGAGGATATATAGAAATATATCTGAATATACAGAGTATAAGGAGAAAATATATTTATGGATTTAAACCTGGATTGGTTTAAGGCAGGGATACAGAGGAAGAACAGTGTCAGGAAAAAAGAAAAAATACATGAAGAGAAAGTAAATGAAGAATGGGATGAGTAAGGACGGATAAAGGATTGGATGAGTAAGGACGCATGAAGAATGGAATGATTAAGGACGGATGAAGTGATGGGATAAGTAAGGACTGAAGGATGTGAGGAGTAAGGACGGATAAAGGATGGAATGAGTAAGGACGGATGAAGGATTGGATGAGTAAGGACGCATGAAGGATGGGATGATTAAGGACGGATGAAAGATGAGATGAGTAAGGAATGAAGGATGTGATAAGTTAGGACGTATGAAGGACGTAATGAGTAAGGACGAATGAAGGATTGGATGAATAAGGACGGATGAAGGATTGGATGTGTAGGGACGGATGGAGGATAGGATGAGTAAGGACGGATGAAAGATTGGATGAATAAGGACGGAGGAATGATGGGATGAGTAAGGACGGATGAAGGATTGGATGAGTAAGGACGGAGGAAGGATGGGATGAGTAAGGACGGATGAAGGGATGTATTCAGGATCGCGTGAGGTCTGCTATTGCTCCGAACCCTGCAATGGCAGCTTGAATCCAACCCTACAAATTACGAGGGACGGATCCAACATGCAAAACTTTAGTCGGACGGATACAAAGAGAGAACCTGGAGAACCTATACAACTGACAAGGGATGGGTGAGGAGACAGGACGGACATTATTCCTGGGTCAAACCCGCCATTGTTCCTCTCAAACTGTCAAAAGAAACAAAAGGTGAAGCTAGGCTCCGACCGGAAACCCTGTCTTACAAACTTTTCAAGTTCGGACAGTTGGATACATTTTATACACCTTGTCAGGACTAGGGATATAATTGATATTTATATTTATATCCTTCTTATTCTTCATTTCTAAATTATTTTGAAAAACTTAGTTTTTTTGTGACACGAGTTTAAACTGGACCCGGAGTAATCGTACTAACCTGGCGGATAATCTAGGGTAAGAGGACGAAATTAGAGAATTATCTCAGCAAAGTTTTCTATAGAGTTAATCAGATGAAAAAAGAGAAAGAAAAACTTTGACAAGAAGTGTAGGAGGGAAATATTTCCACTTTTATACTCTGTCAAAGGAATTAAGTCTTCGTCACAGACTTTGATTTTCTAATCCCTATATCTTTGCAATCCGAAGTCAACCTATGAATTCTGTAGGAACAGTTAAAATAAGTTTTAAAAATGTAAGGTTTACACCATCAGGTTGCAAAAAAATAAGGATTTGAACATTTGAGTTTGTGGCAAAACTCAATTCCTTCAAGTCAAAATAATTATAATTTTTAAATAAAAAGTTTTATTATTTATTATCATCATCATGGTTGGATTTACTCGATTGCGGATTTTCCCGGGTAACACGGTATTAGAAACTTAAGGTATATATATTATACTATACTATATAGGGTAAATTATTCATTATTTTAAATTCACTTTTTTACAAAACCTTTTTGACGGAAAAGTTAGAGGTCGCCCCAAACCAATCTGTAAGCCTCTAAAAGTGGCAGGGATATTAAAAGGCATCACGAAAATTCTGTTTTTAATTGGGGTTATATCAGGGGTCCCAACCGCGTCTGTTTTTATCAAAGTTTTTGCTAAAACACAAAAACGTTTCTGCAAGCCTCATACTTTTGAGTGACAGGGTCTATACTTTGCCTGGATTTTCAGGCAGAAAACCAAGAGGGTGAACCAGACAAGCATGTATTGCATGAATGACCTAAACCAATCGAAGAGTGACCAAGGCAGTGGTATTTAACCAGGAATAGTATAATTTGCTGAATTATTCAACCTGCGTCAAATTATAGACCGTCAAAATAAAATGCCAAGTCTCAAATTTGAAATCGGAAACTTATCTTCTTTAAAAAATTATTATTGTAAACAGAGAATTGTCTTCGGGAAAATGTCAAATAAACGAATATTTAAAAAACAGATTGAAATCGATTCTTTAAATATCAAAATCGAGAAAAATGCGTTTCTGAGATTGAAGGATACATTTTTTCCATCTTCTTCATAAGATAATAATAATTCTTTCCATTTTCTAGTTTATAATCAAATATTCACAAGTTTATCAAATTATCTATAAAAACTATTTAAAAGCTGAGGAGAAATTCTATATTTTTAAAAGGTATTTCTTGAATAATTGATAAAAATTGGAAATTATATAAAAGTAAACATATTTTTGTCAAACCAGTATTTTTATAAAGTCTATAAATATTTCATGAGTTAATTTAATATAAAATATAAAAAATGTTGATGATCGTAAAAGGTAGGCTGGCTAACTTAGTAATTAATGATAATTTTTCATATTTGAATTGACCTCTTTCAGATTGTATCAGTTTAACAATTTTTTTGCACATTTATATAAATGAATTCATAATGTATTATACACTTTTGTACAGTGTGCTTTTTAAAAAATAGGTTTTTGAAGAATATTTCAAACCTTTTCTTGGCCAAACTCCAAACTTTTGGGTTTACAGGGCATTCAGGGAGTTTATGAGACCCTTGGGTTTAGAACTATAAAACGTACAAAGAGAAAAGATAAATAAAATTGAAAGTTATGAGAAAACGAAGAAAAAGAGCACCACGCTAGGGGAACTCATGATGGTTTCATAATATCATAATATCTAAATATCTTAATATCTAAATATCTAAATATCTAAATATCTAAATATCTAAATAGTTTAAAATATTAAAGATTTACACCATCAGGTTGTAAAGATAACGGGATTAGCAAATTTGAGTTTGAGGCAAAACTCAGTTTTTTAATGATTTCGGTGGTTTGGTTATACGAACGAAATATTGGGGGTCTTGAAACAGTGAGATAAGAAAAAAAGTTCTAGAAAAAAAAGTAAAAAAGGGGTTATTTTTTCTTACAATTTCTAAAAGAAGGAACTTTATCCATTCTTTAAACCTAATTATTCTGCGCCACGGTTTCAAGCTTCGGGCTAGAATATAAACTACTCAAGTAAATATTAATTTACTTAAATACTTGAATTTACATTGCAATGTAATCCATATCCACCCATACCAGGCGTCCTAATGCACTCTCTCTATATACCTTGCTTGGTTTACATATATAGTGTATAGACACTTATAGATATATACAAATATATTTATATTCAAATAACACACGTATCTTACACATATTCATTATTCATATGTATGATTTACCGTTTTCGGAGAAAATGTAGATTTTTTCAGTTAAAACATAACCAATGGAATAAATCATATTTCAATCCAATAATCGTAATTTATATTTTCTATTCCCCCCCCCACTCCTGTCCACAGTAATTATAAAATAAAAAAAATTAATTCTGCTTAACTTTGAATTTTACTAAATCGGCCAATATATTCTTTTAAAGAAAGATGTGAATTGACGATTTTAGACTAGGATTATTGCAAAGAAATAAGAAAGTTGTAAGATTAGTCTATTTCAAAATAAGAAAGGTGTAAGATTAGTCTATTTCAAAAAAAGAAAGGTGTAAGATTAGTCTATTTCAAAATAAGAAAGATGTAAGATTAGTCTGTTTCAAAATAAGAAAGGTGTAAGATTAGTCTATTTCAAAATAAGAAAGGTGTAAGATTAGTCTATTTCAAAAAAAGAAAGGTGTAAGATTAGTCTATTTCAAAATAAGAAAGGTGTAAGATTAGTCTATTACAAAATAAGAAAGGTGTAAGATTAGTCCATTTCAAAATAAGAAAGGTGTAATTAGTCTATTTCAAAATAAGAAAGGTGTAAGATTAGTCTATTTCAAAATAAGAAAGATGTAAGATTAGTCTATTAAAAAATAAGAAAGGTGTAAGATTAGTCTATTTCAGAAGACCAGGAAGAAATGTCCTTATTGAAAAAGAACTCCACCATCCCATATGAATTAAGGTCATTGAGAAAAATCCACGAAAAAAAATTAGAAAAATCTGCAAAAAAAATGACGTCACTTCACAGCTCAGTGAGAAGTTTAATCTACTCTTAATGACACTCCTCGTAACTACCTTAACACTTAAGAGTGAAGGCCGGAAAGCTGTGCAAGAAGACTAGAAGACAAGAAGGCGACAAGAAGAAAAATATCTTTTCATCTTGCGACGTTTCTTATTGCTTGGTTAATTATAAGCCTCTTAAACGTTTTTACCTAAATACACTTTTCTGTTATCTTATATTAAGAAAGTCTTCGCGCGGGGGGACTAACGATTGAAAAAGCGATATTTTTCAATTGTATTTATAATTTTCATGATTAAAGTAAACGAATTTTACTAATATAATAGTTTTTTGTCGAATGCAATAAAATCAATAATTATTCATATGGGGGATTTATTAATTGCACTTTAAGAACTATGAAGCACAGATAAAAAGTAATTAATTTTCATGAATCCTTCATTGCAATAATTTTAACTCATCTTATATAAATGGATTTATCTTTTTGTTCATATTATTTGCCTACCAACTAACCATCTATCTATCTCTGTAACTATCGGCAAAGTTTATTTATTTGTTTAACTTTGAAGCTAAACTCGGAGCGTCAAAATATATTAATTTTTTCCAACTTGTTGTACTCAAACATTATCAGTCTTCTTCTACGCATGCTTATTTTTAAAAATCCAAGAACTATAGAAAATGTGTTTCCACCTTTTAGCTGAGAAATATGGAAGATATTATTTTTTATGTAAAATCTAAAAAACTGAAAATATCTTTAAATCTAAAAACTTTTTGATATTTCGGGAAAAATTTTTATTTCAGACAATATACGTTTTTTTGGGACACTATGCTTGCAGAATACTTGCAGCTTTTAGTTGTATCAAAATATAATTTTTCTAGATCCCCTTGTATTCTATTGTTGTGTGTATGTATGTTAGTGTGCTGTGTGACTGGTATGCAAGAACTTTCAAGTTTGACTCTTCCTGTCAAAACTTGGACGTTTCTTACGGGCAAAGCTACAGACACCTCCCTTCCCCTCCCCCTACCCTTTCCTTTTCCATTTCCCATCCCCTGTTCCCTCCCCCTTCCTTTTCTTCTTCCTTCCCCTTCTCTCTCCCTACCCTTACCTTTTCATTCTCTCTCCCATCCCCTTTCAACTCTTCTCCCATTTTCTTTTCTCTCCCCCTCTTCCCTTCCCCTCCCTACTTCTTTCCTTTTCCTATCCTTTGCTCCCCATTCCCATCCTCTATCATAAAAAATATCTACTAAAAATCAAAAAGTCTTAGTTTTTTAAATTCTTTCAAATGTTAAAAATGTAAAACAAAGTTTTGAAAAAGACTTGCAAAGATTCAGTTTTTGTAATCCCAATGTTCCAAAATAAAGAAGATACTTATTCAGATAGTTTTCGAATCACATCAAATATAGATTCATAAATCTACAAAAAAAAATGTTGAATTAAAACAGATTTGATTGTGTTTCAATAAGTTTGTCGCCCAAACCATCTAACTATATCGAATATGCAACATGTGATTTGAACTTATACTTGTTTGTTTTCGGTTAAAATTCAAGCAATTTTACTTTAAGGATAAAAAACTTTGACTTTAACCTCTGAAAATAAGAAAAAATTTAAAATCTCGGCATCAAAAACATTGTTCTTAATGACACACGGTTTTTGCATAAATGTCTTAAAATTTCAGTTTGGGCCGTTTTTGATATTTTCTTGGGACAGATATATATATAAATATATATATTTGCTTAATGAAAGAGATGTAACTTTTTTAAAAACTTTTCTTTTTCCATTCCGCTCCCCTCTCATTTTCTTCAGTTTCTTTATTTTTTTTTAAATTTGATCTTTAAGGTTGGTTTTAAAATCCATGTTTCCTACCCCATACGGCCCCCTCTTTACAATATCCATATACCTCCTTTTTTCCCCCTTCTATCATATTCATATCCCCCCTTTTTCCCCCTTCTTTCATATCCATATCTCCCCTCCCCCCCCCTCTCCCTGCCTTTCAGGTTATTACTCCATCAAAAGCTTGAAGAATCTTATATTCGAATATCTTATGTATATAAAGTATATCTAGATTCTAGATACATAATATTTGATAAATAACATCCCCCCCCCCGGCCCCCACCCACTCCACTCTGTTTTTAACAATTTCTCAAGTGTTTGTAATAATAGTTATAAGGGAACAAATACGATTAAGGATAATGCCCTCATACTAATCATATAAATTAATCATAATAAAATAAAAATGAGAAAATGATAGTTTTGATGAGAATAAAAACTTTGCTTTTGCTATAAAAACATCAAATGTGGACAAAATAAAAAGGTGGAAAAATATATTTTTTTTGAACACTTTTCATAAAAATAGAAAAAAGAAACGCTAAAATACATCAAAAGATTCATTTTTCCGTTGCAACGAAATAATACCCCCTTAAGATTATGTATAGCAATCATAAATAAAACTAAAAGCAATTAGTGTAATAAAAGAAATTTTATTGTAAAACTCACAAACTCTATTTCCTATGACTGGCGCTAATTAAACTTTGATATTATCGCTAATAATTATTCGCCAAATATGTTCTTGCTAAAAACAATAAAATAAACAAATTAGGACTTTTTCCCCTAATAAAAACTAATATTACATCCTCAATGGGCCCAGATTAAAATCGGATAGTAATCGTATTTGTGGATTTATTAATTAACATCTTGCCGTCGTTTTTTCCGTTAATTTTCTTCACGACTTTTTCGGCAGAATCACTTTAGGGTACACTAACTTTTAAATTTAGCTTTCAGGCCTCACTTTTCAACGGATAAAATAAAGATGAGAAAAACAAGATTTTTTCACTTTTCATTTAATTTTTATTTTCAAACTTTATAAGTGAGGTTTTCCTGGATTTCCTCCGTTTTTGGGGTTTCCCTGTTCTTTAACTTTTGAAATTACTTTTTTACTTTATTGAATTTTTGTTTATTTCTTCCGTTTAAAATTTATTCCAATTTCCATTTATACTCCCCCCCCCTCTCTCTCTAGCGTATCCTCTCTTTTATCAAATTTTTCAAAAGATGAATTTTGATTTACTATTCTAATTGAACCCAAACAAATAATGTCACAACATTTAAAAATAATTTTACCAAGCAAACTGTCATTTTAAGGCAGGAACGCCCAGGCCCCCTCACTGTTGACCAATGGGGGAGGGGAAGGGGGGTGTGTCCCCTCTTATTTAAAACACTGATACACTATATACAAGGATACAGGAGGAAGGTAGATGTATAACTAAATATTACCATGCATCCTATCGTCATGGCCTGGGTCCTGGTCGTACACACACATATACACAACCCGGAAGGTATCACACGTGGGTTCCCCCTGTACACCAGTCCGTGTGCTTCAAGGACATCTTGTATGGGGCGGACTACACTGTATACTAAACCCTATATACAGCGGATCCCGTAGCTCCACTCCACTACATAGACACAACTCTGATCCTTGGATAGCGTCCGGCGGTTTCAAGTTATAATACTTTTTGCAAACTTACTTAGTTACATACATCTAGCCATTAGACAAGGGGTTAAAGTGTACTGCTATGTTTGTTTACATGAACCACCCAAAACATTGTTGATTGGAGGCTGGGCGGGGAGGGGGGAAGGTGAAGAATTCTTTTCCTAAAACTTACTTTTAAAAGAATTTCCTCGCGGTGTCGGGCAATTTTCTCCTCAAGAATTTTCGACTGTTGCATCCATACTTTGTGAAGGCTCCGAAAGAAATGTTTTTTTTTGAGAGTATCTTTGCTCTTCCAGTATATAGCAGAGGGGTTCCTATCCTCCAGGGAGTTTAGAGATGGGATAGATAGATGGATAGAAGGATGGATGGATTGATGGATAGATGGATAGATAGACGGAGAGATAGAAAAGTGCCCGGCACGGAAACCGGCGGTACGGGTCGGAGCTGCTCTAGCAACGGTCGCGGACAGTGCGGACCCTTAAGCTTGGAAATAGGACAGATTGGACAAGACAAGGGGTCCTGTACACGTCAATCATACTGGTGTATAGGTGGTTATCCTCAACTATCAATCTATCTATCTAAACTTGATTTACAACTCTTATGTAAATAGATATATGTTTCTCATAGTATTATATAACCCTGATAATAGTCAAAATAATGATATTAGTAATACTAATAATATTAATATTAATATTAAAANTCCTCCCTCCTCCCTCCCTCCTCCCTTCTCCCTCCTTCCTACTTCCCGTCAATTCTGTCCATTGCTTCGTTAATATATCATCTATCTATCTATTCACATGTCTAATTAAACAACTTTTTATCTATCTATCTACATGTATCTGTGAAATGTTGTATTTCTTCTCAACTATCTATCTATCTATCCATCTATCTATTTACCTAGGCTCTACCTAGCTTGCCAGGTCAAGATTTCCCTCGTTAATCGTCGTTAAAACATGTAGGTCATTCAAGCTAGCTTATTCTAGGTTGATTTTCCCAGGTAGTTTATTCCAGGTAGTTTATTTCAGTAATTCCAGGTAGTTTAGTCCAGGTAGTTCATTCCGGGTAGTCTATTCCAGGTAGTTTATTCCAGGTAGTATAATCTAGGTAGTTTATTCCAGGTAGTTTTATTCCAGGTTGTTTATTACAGGTAGTTTATTCCAGGTAGTTTATTCCAGATTGTTTATTCCAGGTAGTTTATTTCATGTAATTTATTCCAGGTATTCCAGGTAGTTTATTCCAGGTATATTATTCCGGGTAGTTTATTCCAGGTAGATTATTCCATGGAGTTTATTCCAGGTAGTTTATTCCAAGTAGTTTATTCCAGGTAATTTATTCCGCGTAGTTTATTCCAGGTAGTTTTATTCCAGGTTGTTTATTCCAGGTAGTTTATTCCAGGTATTACAGGTAGTTTATTCCAGGTATTCTATGTAGTTTATTTCATGTATTTCAGGTAGTTTATTCCATGTAGTTTATTCCAGGTATTCCATGTAGTTTATTCCAGGCATTCCAGGTATTTCAGGTAGTTTATTAGATTCAGATCACTGGTATCATTTTGTGACCTCGTTGCTCCTTTAATTATGATTATATGCACAAGTATGCGAAAATCAAATTCAAAAATATTTTTGTTCCTCTCTAACCTCTCTCTTCATTAAGATATTTATAAGATTATAATCTCTGAATAAAATTACTATGTATAGTGAAAAGGGAACCTTGTATAAGATTATAATCTCTGGATAAAGTTACTATGTATAGTGAAAAGGGAACCTTGTAGTTTGTTAGGTGTACATATGCAGGGACAAACATGAGGTATTTTCAGTAAACATTATTTACTCAGAAACAAACATTTCTTCAACCTCTTTATCACAAACATTTATTTTTCCCACGGAAATTAATACAAGGTACAAAATTGATTTTAAATATGTATTTAAAAAGGCAGAAAAAACGCATGCAAAAATAAAAATTTTGGATTTATTGTTTTTCTTCTTAAACCTTATAATTTTCAAATATGAAATACTAGTTTTAAAATATACTGAAAACACTTTTAGTTAGTTTGACCGACTAGTTACGAATTTTTAATGTAGATATTTTCGTTTATAAATTGGTATTTAAAAATTACAATGATATTTCCTTTAACGTAAATTTTGAAAATAATTTAGCTGATTAAAGTTTTCCGAAAAGTTAAATGTTAGTCTCAGTTTCTATTAATTATTTGTGATAATTTATAATTTCATGATTTTGCTTCATTAAATATTCAACAGTTTTCATCAGAAATTAAACTTTATTTAGGTAAAAAAATGCAATTTGTTGAATTCTTAAAACTGTTGTAATATTTTGGTACTATTTTTACAGACAATATATTGTTCTAAAAAAAAAGATTTTCCATAAAATATTTTATTCAAAAGTAATATAATTAAGTATATTTGTTCTATAAATGTAATTTTATTAAATAAACATATTGATGTATGCCGTCAAAATCCACTTGACTAAACTATGCAAAAAAGAAAAGTAACCTTATTTATGTAATTTATACTAAATATTTTTAATTTCGTTATGCATGTTTTTAACTTGAAATACAGGGCGCCCCCATTTTTGGAAATTTTCTTAATTTTTAGTTATTCATCACGTCAAACTAGAGTAAATAATTTGTAGTTTTTCATCACGTTAAACTAGAGTAAATAATTTGTAGTTTTTCATCACGTCAAACTAAAGTAAATAATTTTTAGTTATTCATCACGTCAAACTAGAGTAAATTCCACGTAAGTTGTAAATCTGATATGTTTTAATCTTAACTCCTCTGATTGAAGAGCTATTTTCTCATCCTTGTGCATAGAATACAAACTAGAGGAGCTACAAGGTCACAAAGTTGTACTAGTAATATCGCATAAATTTGACCTTCTTTTTTTTGTTTAGTTCACAGTGTCCTTCCAGTTGACTTAGCTATTTTTTTCTATTCGGTTCATAAGGTTCAACATGTTTTTCATTTTTTTATTCAATTCAGAAGTTTCAACATTTTTCTATTCGGTTCAGAAGTTTCAACACTTTTTTCATTTTTTTATTCGATTCATAAGTTTCAACATTTTTTTTTATGTGGTTCAGAAGTTTCAACATTTTTCTATTCGGTTCAGAAGTTTCAAGGTTTTTCTATTCGGTTCAGAAGTTTAAACATTTTTTTCATTTTTTTATTCAATTCAGAAGTTTCAACATTTTTTTTATGTGGTTCAGAAGTTTCAACATTTTTCTATTCGGTTCAGAAGTTTCAAGGTTTTTCTATTCGATTCATAAGTTTCAACATTTTTTTTATGTGGTTCAGAAGTTTTAACATTTTTCTATTCGGTTCAGAAGTTTCAACATTTTTCAACTACAATTAGACATATATTCAATATATTCAATTTTATAAATGTGACGCAATTATTTTCCCAAATTGATATTTTTTGTATTTTTCATCTTGACGTGTAAACTTGCTTGCGTGGAAATGCGTAACGATTGTAAAATGATCAGGGTCCTCTATCAGGGAGAGGTGGGGTGATATAGGGGGGTAAGTGTGGGGGGGGGGCCACACACACTATCAGTGAAATACAGAGACGTATTTCCTTGCAAAAAGGGGGATTTTTTTTCGACAATATGGTTTTCTGATATTTGTGTTTCAATTAAGTTATAAATTTAAACAAAATGAATAATTTTGTTTTTCAATTTAATTTGAATACAATCTTATGCACTAATAGAACTGTAATTATATCAATGGTTTGAATTAGGGTTTACTGGATCCCTGTTCCCCCTTGGAACCCCCTGGAGCTCCCTGATCTGTGTTACCCCTGGACCCCCCCTTGAAATCTATCCTTGAATTGAGCCCCTGGTTAAAAGATACTGGATAGTCGACCACAGCAACACACAGCTTCCCTGCAGCTTCAGTATAGAGTCCTGTAGACCAGGGGAACAGCTGATATTAGTTCAACCCGCAGCTGCTGGTCTCTACCCATCTCATTCACAGATAAACCCGCAACCATTAGGCTCTAAAGTAACAATTTATCTATCTGTTCATCTATCTGTTTCTATTTCTCTAACCTCGTATAGATACCATTACCAATATACATTTATACTAAAGTTACATCATGTAAAACTTACAAAAAGTTTTTTTGACCAATTTTAGTTTTCAATACTTTGGGTTTTTAACAGAAGTTGAAAATTCTATACTTTGCTTTTTTGATGCTGTTCTTGCAGTTTGTGACGTGTTTTATAAAAAAACCATGAATTTTTTTTATTTTTGTTTTTGATATTGTTATATTTCCAAAAAGGTTAACAGTACAACAATACAAATAACAGTTAACAATACAAATTTACAATACTTTTCTCTGTATAATTAAAAATTTTAAAATACATTTTCAAAATGTCGAAAGCAAATTTAACATTTTGTTTCCATTTTGAGTTGGTTATCGGGAAAAATAGCTAAAATCGTTCAAGTGCGAGTAAACGACGGGAGTAACTTGGGAAAATGTACATTTGGGAAGTTGCCACTTGGGAAATTGCACATTTGGGAAGTTGCCGCTTGGGAAAGTATCTAGCATCACTATGAATAACCTAGACAATGCTGGGTTCCAAACTAATATTCATTATGACAAAATTGTTTAAACAGAAAATTCCATTTTGACCTTGGTGCAGATTATTCCTATTAATTTTCGTTTTTTTTTTAAAGTTTGCAATGTCTTTTGAAAAGATTAAAATAGACATTTTCCCATCGATATCTGGAGAAAAAACATTTTTTACAAGAAAATTAGTTTCGCAGATTTATCTTTCTTTGTTCCAATCAAATGTTTTTGCAATTAAAACTGAAGGCATGCTCTAAATTATTTTTGTCCAGGTACTATATTATAGCGGGACAGGTAGCACATTAAACTAATGTAAATTCCACACAAAAATCATATGTTTTATGTTTTCAATCATCACTTAGT